TTCTGCCACAAGTTATCCTGTCAGTTTGTATAATCACATAGAATGGAGAGAAATGGAAACACTCAGAGAAACACTGAAAGAAAGATATGCTCTTCATGCTCTTACCAATGTGAGCTCTGGATTTTCAAAAAAGCTCTCCTGAATGGGATGGTCAGAACTATTTCAACTGAGGCTTATGTAGCTGTGCACAGAGTGGGTACAATCTGCAAGGAAATTCCTTACAAGTCTTATATGAACACACAAATGCCCATTATCGCCATGTTCTGTTAAGCAAATGGCCTCCTTCATATTCATTTGAATTGAGAAACAGCCATGTCATATGCAAATGTTCTGCAAAGCAAATTTAAAAAGTTATTACAAAACTGTGTGTGTTTCTTTCTTTTGACATTTGTAAATGCTCATTGGAAGACAAATTTTGAACCAAACCTTGGAAGGATCTCAGGATTGGAATGCTAACATTAAAAATTTACACATCATTTGAAAATTGTTCGTGTGAACATGAGGCCAGAGAGTCCTTGAAATCTGGAAGGGGTCACCTAAGATCACACTGATGTTTAGTGGTAGACCAGGGAGTAAAAATGAAACTTCAGTGGCCTCATAACCCTAATCTTTTCACGATTCTCTGTCGTATCCAAGAGGGTGGGTTGAGGTCATGACTTTGCCTTATTTGACTGTGATCCCTTGGGCAGAGCACTTGCCCGGAGTTTTGTAATCTGTAAAATAAAAAGGGCTCTACTAAGAAGTACTGTAAGTTTTGTCTAATGTACAAGTACTACCCACAGGGAAGGCTGTGGGTGCTAAAACAGGAACTGAAGAATAATTTCTGACTTATCTTCTTTTGCTTTCTCGCATGAAGGGGAAGCAGTCACGCTCATGGGTAATTGGAACACAATCCCTGAAGTTTTACTCTGAGACGGACAGTTAACCCCTGCACACCTGCCTTCTCCTGGCCCTTCATCACTCCCTCTCTGAGCTCCAGTTGCATAGTCCTGGGGCTCCTGCTTCTTTTCCTCCCCCGTCCTGAGCTTGTACGCTTCCTAAACCAGGGACACTCACAGACTCTTCTCTGCTCCCATCTCTGCTTAGCCAAGTCTTCCCCAGGCTTTAGGTCACTTCTGAGCCATCAGTTCTTTGGAAAGCTTCTCCTGCCTGCCAGGCTGCCCACACTAGCTCCACCCTTTGCTTTCATTAGTAGTGTGCATGGAGCCCTTCACAGAGCTGCAGTGAATGCTTTAACAACCACCAGTCCAGTGGTTGCAGTCAGGGACCAGGTTGTCTTTCCTACCTTGATCTCTAGGCCAGGCCAGAGCAATGCAGTGCACGTCTACATGGGCTACGCATGCTATGCATTTGAGGAGCTGGTTCTTTCTTTACTTGGGAGAAAAAAAATGTGAAAACTTAGTATGATAGTAAGAAACATTAAAGAATTTGCCAGGTAATACCTCAAACTAATATATATATGTAAATGTATTTTGTCCTTATAATTTTCTGAAGTCATTATTATTATTATTATTATTCCCTATTACAGATGGAGAAACTAAGGCACTGTGAAGTTAAATAACTTTCCCATTATGATGGGGAAGCTGGGATTCCAGGCAATTTGCCTGCAGAAGCCACACCCCTAAACACTGGGCTATCCTATCTCACAGAAGTTCTGAGACACCTTACCTGAGACAGGACTACATTTCTCTTGTGTCTCACTGGTCTGTCTGATCCATTAGCCACTCTGGTCACTGTATCACTGAAAGCAAACCCAGATATCCATTCCCACCATCCAGGTCTGAGTCTGACCATTGCTCACCTGGCCTGCCCTAAGAACCTAACAAATTGGTTTCCTAACTTCTTCTCTTGCTCGCTACAGCCCATTCTGTACCTAGTAGCCAGAGCTCATTTTAAAGAGTAAACTAGATCATACCCTGTGTAAAACACTCACTGGCCTCCCTTCAGTACTCAGAATATAGCCAAACCTCTGACCAGGGGCTCAAGGTCTTCCTCCTCAAGCTCAAGGGCTTTCTCCTCACAAAATCAACTACTCCTTTTCTCATGGACCCACATGTGTGGTTTTCATTCCTATGATACAAAAAGTGGAGGTATTCTCTGCTGAAGGCCTTTGCCTTTCTGACCTGACTGTCTCATTCATTCATTAGCAATTCATTTCTTGTCTGTCACCACCCACTCCAGTGTGTGCCCAGTCCGACTGAGCATGGTACCAAGGGGGGGCCCAGTGAGTCGGCTCATTAACTGGGATATGGACTGCTAATAAGGACTGGGTGGGGTGTGGTGTTCAAGAGAAGGAGCTAACACTGCTTGCCACCCTGGGAGAGAAAGCACTTGGGAGGAGGAGGGACCTGAGCTGGCCTTGATTTGGGAGTCCCGAGGCTGAGGATGTCATCGACAGCACTGGACATGCTCTGAAAGGTGAGGCAAAACTGTCAGAGCTGTTTGATCCATTACCCTGAGGTACTGGCCTACTCTACTGAAGTTTGCTCATTACAGTGATGAGACAACGCTGAGAAGAAAATACAGAGTGCATTTGGAGAAGAAAATACAGAGTGGATTTGGAGATCCCTAGGATGCCAGGGGGAGGAATCTGAGCTCTACTCTATAGTCAAAGAGGTAGAGACTCAAATGCTGTGGCCAGTGGGTGTTGTGTTAGAAAATTCATTTTTGGAGTGTGTGTCTTCCACTTTGCCTGTCTTTCACACTTTCTTCACCTAAGATCTGACAATCTCTTCACTCCCACCCCTGTGCCACTCTTTAAATATTTTCCCCAAACAGTGTTCCTTATTGGGGTGGATATCTCATTATTCAAGCTGATTTGGCCTGGTGTGTGCACGTGGAAAATACACATAATGGGGCTCATAAATGGGTCCAACAACTGTACGTTTGCTTTTGCATGTATGCATATATGGATGTTGTATTTCTAAGATTAAATTTTCTGGAGGAAGGAATTTGTGCTGTTTTATAGCTCTCTGTCAGTGATTAATCTGGAAGATCACAGAGATATATGTTGTAGATGCTCTTTTTCTATGAAACCATCTTATATTGCTATCCCTTGAGTATTTAAGTTGTTAAATCTATGTCCTGCAATCCAAGATACTTTATGCTGAATTCTCTTCTGTAGCTGATAAATTTGAATCTGAGTCCAGTTTATATAGTTTGTAAGGAAGTAAAGAGCTTTTCCAGGCATCAGTTCTTACAGTGATCAAAGGAACAGTCATTGCCTTCTAGTTTTGATCCCCTACAGGACTGAGGTTGCTTCCTACAACTTCCTTTCTTTGGACTTTGAGTGTTCTAATGCAACTACAATCTTGCTACTACTTCCTATAACCAAGAGGAAAAGATGATGCTGAGATTCAAGGAATATACAGTATTTCACAAATCAATTTTATTAATTTAAACACAAAATTAATGAAGAAAAATTCTGTACACAATTGTGGACACAACACACCTTTTTTACAGTAAGGCCAAGATAAATTTTGTCTTTTCAATCTGCATAAACATAAAAAGGAAAAGGTTAAAAAATTGTCCACTTCCATTTGCTCCAAGCAACAAAGGAAAAAAAAAAAGAAACTAATTCAACTTTGGAGAATTCACAAGTGACTAATTCTAGCAGCAACATGAACCTATTGGATGGGGTAGCTCTTTACTAGTCTGGATCAAAGCTGGTGCCTGGCCTGCCCATGTAATATTAATGACAATTCATCCAAAGGGTAATTCCATTTCAACGAAAGCTTTAAATGAGAATGACTAGTGTCCAGACAAATTAATTGCTTTTGGAAAAACTTTTTATGGATATAACAAAGGTAACAATTTTTATTTCCCAAGATTTATGCTTATTATGTAATACATAAGCAGAGTGTAACATTATTATTTTGGTGATGATGACTGGGCCATGTCCATTGGTGACAATGAACTTAGTGGGAAGGAAGACAGAGTCCAAATGTAGGGAGTAATGTAAAGTTTTGCTGATTTCCAGCTATGTGCTAATGTCCTCCTTTATCTAAACAAGAAAATGCAAGCACAATAATAATTCTGAGCACATGAAAATTCTGCTAGTCTCCAATTCACAAACCATTTTATTAATAAAATATATCTATCATCTATATTCTTTCTGTGGGATGAAGCATTTGAATAATCATTTTTTCCAAGTAGTTACATATAATACATCAGTGTTGAAATGAAAAGATGAGGTGGTAAGAGGACTTTTACTATTTTCAAATCAAACTGCTATGTTATTTTTATCAAGGCCCTCCAAATCTCATTTAAAAAAACTAGAAGAACTGATGGGAAAAAAGATTTGGAAAACAAAATCCTTTTTGACACTTAATACCCATGCTTTTGGTCTTGACAACATTATTTTTAAAAAATCCATTATCTACATATTTATACCCAATCCTTGGATAAGGCACCGCACAGGAGATTGTGCACATGTTGCCTCAAGCTTCACTATGAAGGCATTACTACCTTTCAATATCATTTCACTAAACAATATGTAAAAGAATCATCCATTATTACAAATTTACACCAAAAATTCTTTCTGTACACGATTGTCTCAGTGATGTACATATTATACGCTTAAATTAGACATACTTTACTTTGCAATGTGCTAATATTCAAAGAACTTGCCACGTCATGAGGCAAAGGTCTTTAATCACTTATTTCTTACGTTAGCTCTTCTATTTGATGTCAAAAAGTCTGTCTGGGTAAATTGTATGTGAATTATACCTCAGTCAATCTTTTTAAAAAAGTCTGTTCATAAATAAGTAGAGATGTACAGATTACTCTGGGTATGAGACACCAAAAAAGTAAACCTTCTTTACGAGAAAAATTCCTCCACTGGTATTTAGGGATCCATTTCAGTCTTTGTTGTGCAATCAGATTTGCTGTACTGGAGAAGCTGTTTCTGTCACATTGAAAATGCTAAAAGCTGAAGTGTTTGCAGGTCCTTTCTTCACAGGTTTGAACCGTGTTGTTACTGTGGTAAAGACACATTACACTGTGCTAGAACATTTTCATGGCTTTTTTTTTTTTTCATTAGATTCACAGTACTAGAGTCAACAGCTGTTCTGAAGAAATAGATGTGCTCCTCCATTAACTGTGAGGGCAGAGGTCAAGACCAACAGCAGCTGCGCATCAGTACATTGGAATTGCTACATTCTGGAGTCCAGCGCTGACATGAGACACAAGCCTGTTGGATTTGGCCCTGGTCCCAGGGTAGCTGTGCGGTTTCTTAGTGCCTTGCGGCAGTTACAGGTACTCCAGTTCCAAGGCATGATGTAGGGCCATGAGGTCAGAGTGGCTGGAGACCCTCCAGAAGGGCATCGCGTGCTGCAGAAGGGGCAGACACATGGTGAAAACAGAGGATGCACCCAGGACAAGCCCTGCCAACATCTACTGAAATCCACTACCCTGCTCATTTCAGTACTGTGAAAACTGCCAGCTATCTTCTTAACATCACAGCTATTGAAGATAAAAATTCAAACTTGATCCTCTCTAAAGAATACTGTACTAATTTTTAAAATATAGAGTCTATTTCTTTTAAGAAGGTGATAGATAGTTCTTAAGTAGATCTACTGTGATTCAAATGCCAGTTCTGAACTTTAAGTAAAACAGCCAGTATAAATGAAACTTTCCTGAAAAAAGCTGCTTCTCAAAATACGTATCTAGTAGGGTTTTTTTTGGTACCAAGGATCAAACTCAGGACCTTGTGCTCGCAAGGCAGGCACGGTGACACTGAGCTAAATCCCCAGCCTTTTAGTAGGTTTTTAATGTTGAAAGTTTTTTTTAAAAGTTTGTAAGCAGATTTCCCTAGTTGGTAGCAGTTTATAGTTTTGAAAACTTAATCTTGCTCATATAGGAAGCAACTGTTCTTTTTTCATTCATTTCCATCAGCTATTCTTCATATTGACCTTATAATGACCATCATATGGGAAAAATTTTATATGGATATCTAAGATTGGTCTCTGTGTGATTCTGTAGGTGTAGTTTAAGTCATTGTTCTAAAAACCAAGTTTAAATAATGGGAATGTTTGTGAAACTTGTGAATAAACCAGAGAAGGAAAACAAGACAAAACATATTACCTCAATCCATGAGAGGTAAAAACATGATGGTAAGTTTCTGCTCAAAAATACTGATAAGTACTTATGCATCACCAAAATATTTTTCTTAAATAAGAGAAAGATAATACTATGTTTTGGAGAACAAAATTCTGCTAAACCCATAAAATAATTTTTGAACACATACAAAGTGGGGAAGGTGAAGTTCACTTTGCAGTTGTAGTTCTGAGATATTTCGAAAAATTTCAGACTAAGAGGAGAATCTAGCAGGCAAAAATAAAAAACAGTAGAAGGTAGGGGGTTTTTTCGCTGTTGTTCTTTAATCTATAGATAATGATAAAAGCTACTATTTGGATATTGACACATAGTTGTTGTATCCTGGGATGCAAACCACTAAGCATCTTTAATAACAGTGTGTTTGCCACAGGTCATATACCACATTCTATGGTGGGCTTAATACTACTTTGGGGGTAGCTATATATCTTTGTTAACCTTTAATAACAAAACAGTCCAGAAATGAGTACCTAAGATCTTTTTGTAAGTCTATAAAAGGATGTTCCACTTAGCACCATTAAATTTTAAGATGTACCACTGTGCATTCATTCATTCAGGATTTTTTCTTCCAGGCACAAGATCTAGATGTAGAAGAACCAGAAATGCATATGGCCATGAGTAATCCTCTCACGGTCTGTGGGTAAGTATAAATGAACAAGAACTATGAAAATTTATCTATGTGTTTTAAGAGGAGTAGGAAGAAGGCAATTATCTTGAGAACTAGGGAAATGCCTGGAAAGAGGATTTGATAATTGAGCTAGGTATGCTAGGGTGAGCATTCAGAAGAGCACTAGGATGGGTCTGTGGGTTGGGCACAGAAGATAAAGGAGAAATTCATATTTAGCACACTGGCTGAGTGTGAGAAAGAGACATGGTGACATGACTGGCTGTAAGAGCCAGATGGTTCAGCACAGGAAAGTTCTACTGAAGAGTTTATTAATTATAATGATAGTTATGTTAGATACTGTGTCAGGTACTATGCTAGGTACTCAGAGATAAGTAGGTACTATTGTCATTATTACATTGATTTTAAAAAAACATCAAGGAAGAGGAGACAGGTTTAAATAACAGCTGAAGCCAAGAATCTTACTGGGTCTATACTGAATCTGAAGACCATTTGCTGTAATATCTCCTAACTATTGTTCATAGTTGTTTTATTCAGCTGTGCAAATTATTAGCACCCAGCGCAGGTTAAAAGAGACACACTCTTCCCTCCCTACTCTGCTGGTAAGAGACTGAAAAATTTCAGTGACTATGACTCATGGATCTGAGTTGGAAAAATGATCACTTACAATACAGATAGCATTCCTCTTTTTTCCTTAGTCAAACATCCATGCATATTGTACTACACTTGAAAAAATACAGAACCATATAAATATAAACCCCTTATCTTCCTACACAAAAATAACCACCATAAACATTTCTGTGTATTTTCCTATGTACACACATATTTGAAATTAACATAAATATACACATATATATGATGGACCACATCCTACTCATTCTAGTACTTACGTCCATTCTAGACACATTTGACAAGAATGCCATTATTTTCTTTTTTTCTTTCTTTTTTTTTTGGTACCAGGGATCGAACTCGGGACCTTGCGCTTTCGAGACAGGCGCTGGAACCACTGAGCTAAATCCCCGGCCCAAGAATGCCATTATTTTCAAGTATTCAACTGTACATAATATTCTTTAATATTTAACCATCTACTATATTTGGGATCTACTTTTGTAACTATTTTATTTCTAATTATGTTTTTCATATTTTCTTTATTTTAATTTGCCAGTGATCCACTCCCCTACCCCAGAGCTCCTTTTCATTTCTATCAATCTTATGTACCGTTATTTCAAAATGCAACAAAGAACACTATAGGTTCTTCAGACAGCCATCCAGAAGCTTGTAGGATAACTATCTTCACAAATACATATAAGAATACTTGTTAGGTGGGATGTTTTTCTTTCAGAATAGGCTCAAATTTTTTTGCATGCTGATTAACTGAAAGGAGATGTTTCTTACAGAGGATTTTTCTACACATCCAACCACTATCAGTACAAACCTGAAAGCTACGGTGCACTCAGAAACATATAGTGAAGAATGCAATAAGTGACACAGAAAAAGGAACCGGAAAAAAATCCAGGTAAATTCTTTGGTACATGGTTAAAGTATAAATTGAGGATTTAATAGGAAACATGCCTCATTCAATGGCTGTAGTCTCAGCTGTGTAGGTATAGGGGTTGATGCCAGCCTAAAGCATATTTAAACTTTTAAACTATACTCACAACATTATCTCAAAAGGTGAGATTTATTCACAAAGGGCCCTGAGGCTTATTTACTGGCACTGAAATCCTAACAGCTTTAGGCTTCCTGGAGAGTATTACTAAGAGACACATGGCCAAGAGCACCCTGAAACCAGTTCAAATGATGAACTGTACCTGCAGTCTATGAAAGACGGCTCACCACAGTGCAGTGGCACTGAAGCTATTCCTTAAAGCAGAAGGGCCAAAGCTTTTGTAATGACAACTGGCAGATTATGGGGACAGTTGCACTGATGACATCAGACCAGCTTCATACTGTTCATTACTTGAAGAGTAATGATGTCTGATATGGACAGACGTTTCATTCTTGCAAAAGAAAAAAATAATGTGCTCCTCTAAAATGTATCTGCTTACTAGCAAGTGGACGATATAAAGAAAACCAAGTCTAGGGATGAAGATCCATGGCTTAAAATCCTGTTGATACATAAGTAGAATTAATACAGTACAATAATACTTTCCCTAATTTAATTAGGCACAGAATTCATAGAAAGATTTTATGCATTTACAAGAGCTTCCCATGACAAGTGGGTGCAGACTTTTTCCATGTATCATTGTTAGCCTCTAGAACAAATGTTTCTTACATGAACTCAGAGATAAATGATGACAAAAGAGGAAAAGAGAAACACATGCTATAATGAGGAGACCTAGGCTGTCCTCTCCACTCTGATAAGAGCTATGTGACCTCCCATTATGGCACCATCTCCATGGATCCCCACTTTGTTTACCTATAAAATGAATTTAGTGGAAATAACTCAAAGTTACTTCTAGGTTGATGATTTTTATTATCAAAGCAAAGGTTATTACCTCTGTAGCACTGTAGCTGCAGTATGAATGCAATATATGATACGTATGAGACACAAGCCAGATAAGATATAGCTGATGAAACAGTTTGATTATGATATGAGGCAGAGTGGGATTAAGAATCAAACTGATAAACTCAGAGAGAGGGGAACTCTGCTATATGCTGGAGAAGATGAATTGCGCTTGTGTAGAACTGGAAGAATGGACAATGCTGGAGAGGTAGATGGTCAGGGGACTAGGATTCCCAGTTAGAAGGAGAGGCGTGCGAGTGACAAAGCTGACAGGTGGGATGCACAGAACATTTTCATTCACTCCTCTGGAAGTAATGGTGCTAGAATGGTGTGTTCATTATAGAGACTAATAATGAATAAGGTTTTTCCAAGGTAAAAGCACTCAGAATATCACCTAAGGGGTTTAGATTTTTATCTTGTAAATGGAAAGGAAAGGAGGCTAACACTCTTTCAACGCTGGGAGACAAGAAGGTTGAAATCAGGGAAGGATGGATTTGGAGGTGTGTGTGTGGTGGGTAGCAGAGAAACCAGGCAGAGTGACATTGAGAATACAGTGAGTGCGATGGGTGGGAGACATTTGTGAAGAGAAAATGCATGTGAGTCAGTGAAGGGTTGGAAGTAGAGAACACTCAAACAAGTTTGATTGAGTGGGTGAGCTGGTTCAGGATAGCTGAGTCCAGAATCCATGCATTCAGCTATCCAGATGGGTATGACATGTGATAGCTAAATGGAGATATCCCATCAGGTACCTGGAGGCCAGGGGCCAGAAATAGAGCTACTCACAAATCTTAACAGAGATTAGTTTATCAGGGCTAAGTATTCACTGAGAGAAGTGGGTACCAAAGGAGCACATGTCTTGGGTCCTTAGAACTAAAATATAACACATATTCCCTGCTCTTCTTGTAGGTGAAACTTTCCAAATCCCCTTACTCTGTCCTTCCCTGTTTGATATTTCACATTTATCCTTTTGATTACATATGAAATCTATCCTATAAAAATCTGGGCACATGGTCACTTACATGTGAATTGAATTTCTGCTGAATTATTTTATAATGTATTAATAGATAAAAGCATTTATTCTCTGACCCTAGTACCACACTTCTAGGAATTTATCCCACAGCTACACTTGCATGTGCTTGAACCACATAAAGAACATTCACTGCAGTACTGTGTGTAATAGTAAATACTGGAACTCACTTAATGTTCAGTCCCAGGGGACTGATTAAATAATAGCATATCCACACAAGGGAACACCAAAGCAGTTACTTAAAAGGATAAGAAATGCATAGCTCTATGTACTGATATAGATAATCGTTAAGGTGATAACAGAAAAAAGTAAAATTCCCATGTGTCTTAAAAAAAACTATCTACTGCACTTTCATAGGCATGTTATTTCTAGACAGCTCACATATGGAGGTGTAAATACAGAGTCCTCAAAAATTTATTCTAACAACTCATTATGGAACTTTTGCAACTCTGCCTTTTCATTATTTGTATCTCTGCTTAATTCTAGACAGGAGTGAGTTCTTTAAGCATGAAGATGAAATCTAGTTCAAGACCTGGCGTGGAGTAAGTGATCACTAAGTGTTAATGAATAAATGACTTTTCAAACAGTAAGTATAGTAAACTGCATTATTATAATCTTTATATGTACCATTTAAAGAAAACTTAAAACCCCCAAATTAAATTACTTTACAATTTTAAAAAATACAAGTGACTTGTATTTTTCTCCTAAGTTCAGTATCAGGTATTATCAGTCAGGCTTTCAGCTTTATCTTGGATTTCAACAAGTTTTGGAGTACACATTTAAAACAAATATTTTTTGAGAAACCCTTTATCATTCATTATGCAGAAAATGGATGTTTGTCATCTTCCCCATGTTATTTGCAAGAGATTTATTTTGAATAGCTTTCTGAAAAGTAAATAAAGTTAGTTTAGTAAGGCCACTTTTACTCTAGAAATACAATCTAGATATTAACATTTTATTTTTTTCTAACAATCTAAACATGTCTATTTTACACGAGTGATGCTGTAGTATAAGCAACTAATTTTATGATTAAAAAATGCCTGATTTTTTTGTTTGGAAAAAAGTATTTTATGATACTAATAATAGAGTTAGATTAAATTACTTATGAAAGCCCTCATACTATTTTGGCAAAGAGAATCAGGATGACAGAATAGACTTCAAGTGAACTTTAACAACATAAGCAACTAGAGATTTTCTGTCTCTAGTGAACAAACATTATTAGGGAGATGAAAAACATCTCTACAGGGAAATGAGGAGAATGTTATACTAGACTTTAAAAGAATGTAGGAAACTGAGACACAAGATAAGTGCTTAAAATTGATTTTGAAGAAATGCAAAATGTTTGATTTTGCAGAACATTTTGATGCTTAAATGTGCAGAACTTCACTGACTCACCATTAATTTTACTTAGTAATTTAAGGTGCCCAGTCACTAAAGTATTAGAATTAATGATGTGTCTTTAAAAGTATAATTATGAATACAAAATCAGGAAAGCAGACAACTATATGGTTATACAGCACATCTGCCTCTAAAAAAGGAAACAAAAATTGTACTATTTTAATCTAAAACATATTAACTATGTCTAAGATACTTAAATGAAGTTTAGAGTTTGAAGGAACTTTGTTCTAAATCTCACGGTCAGAGACATAACTGGGTTCAAATACTAGTTGGGTATCTTTCTTCAGCCTACGCCCCAATACCACTGGGAATTGAACCCAGGGTCTTTGCATTCAGTTACATACCCAGTCCTTTTTATTCTGAGACAGGGTGTTGCTGAGCTCAAACTTGCTATCCTTTTGCCTCGGCCTCCTGGAGTTTAGGGTTATAGGCATGTGCCACCCTATCCCGCCACTTTGGTAACTTTGTGGCCGTTTGAATTGGTCAAGTTATTTAACCTTCCTATGTTTCATTTGTAAAGTGGGTCTAAGGATTCCTTCCTCACAGAATTAACTATTGTGAGGATTTATGAAATAATAGGTAGAAACACTTAAAAGAAGGACTGGGATACAAGGGTTTAAAATTAGTAGCAATTCTTGTTATTTATCAGGATAATTATTAATCCTATGCACGGATAGCTATCTCTTTATTTACTTAATTACCTTGAAGTTTTATTTGTATTCTGTGAAATTGTAGGGTCTTTTTTCTCCTAAATATTAGATATTCTCTACTTCTGTGCAGAAACTGTGCAGAATGCCACTTACTCATTATTAATTGCAAATTATTATAACCATGTCTCTTAATTCATACATAAGAGCTAGTTCATTTTTTAAAGATGGATAAAACATTCTCCTCAAAACATAATGCTGTTTAAGCTGTCACTGAATGATAAATTGATAATGTCTGAATCATTTGCAAGATGTTAGAAATTAGAATCTTCTGAAAAATTTATATTTTCCACACACAGAGAGGCAGTTCTCAATGTGCAGAGTCTGTTTGTATCAGATACTTTTGGACTCATATATAGTCATCATAAAATCAAAGCTGAAGCTAGAAGGACTCATTCATAGTAAAGATAAGTCAAAAAGAAGGTTCTTTGTAGGTAGCTGCCTAGTTTCTTTTTGGTGTGCCCGATAAAAAAATTAAAATTGTTTTCACTGTTTATCTTTGGACATGTTAACTGTTTTTCAAAGGCAGCAAATTTTCTAGTCCTACTGGTGCTTTTAATTCTAACATTAAACCAAGAATTCCTTTGTTTTCCATGTTGGACTCATGGAAGCCAAACTTCTAACACACTTCTCAGAAAGAAGGCAAACCTTGGTAAGGGTCTAAGGGTTTTATCTGTGTTACTTGCATTTTAAGTGATCTTTCATATGCATTTCCCTCTGCCTAGCACAAGCTAGAAAACCACAGTGGGCAACTTTTTTTTTTCCTGAAATTAAACTTTTGGTTAATATAAGAGAGAAGGACCAGGGTGGAGGGCAGATTCATACCCTGGCCCAGGGCCACATTGCTCAGAGGTGCGAATCTGTTCCAGGTCTTCCTGACCACTAGGAGGTCCTGATAGGAAAGGCCTGGGAGTTCCAGAGGCTTTTCCAGAAAAACCACTTGAGTGGAGATTCCTACCAGACATTCTCTTTAAATCTCCTGGATTGAGTTTTGGGAATTCTGTTAGTCTGGGAAAGACTGTATGAAGTCAGTCCAAAGGGCTAACAGATGTACCTAGGGATGATAGTGGTTGGGCATTGGTGAAGTGGGAAGGTCAGAATTAGTTCTTAAATGGCAAATGCTGCTTTGCATCAAGCACTAGTGGCCTTGAAGTGGGTGTGAGTTTCCACCGGTACCAAGCACACTCCAACGGCTCCTGATCCTGGGCAAAAGCTCTGTCTGGGATATCAGTGAAATCATCAGCCACTGACTGAATTAGGGGTAGTACTTAAGCTTTTACTGGAATTCAGAGGAACTGAAAGTGAATTAAACTATCTTCAAAGGCTATACTCAAGGCTGCAACTGTGGCCTGGAGTTTTATATACTGGAATATTGCAAATGAGCCGAATTGTATCCTTTATGGCAATATTCAAGGACTCATGAATTTGTGTGTAGGGATGGGAGGGGAAAATTATGCTACTGGTTAATGTCATAAAATATTTAATGTTCTCCAAGAAAGGTTTATATTGCAGGGTACAAATGCATTAAGATTTATGGAATTGTAAAATAATTTGAAGATAGAGTCTCAAACAACAATCCAAGCAAAATAAGACCTCTACCTCTGAAGCTCAGATTTAGTTGCTGAAACAAACACATGCACGAGTAGTTAATATCTATCAGGCTGTTTTATGGGAATTACAGATCTTAAATAAATTTAATTTTTCAACATAGGCCAGGGAACTGGCTGCTTTTACTATCCTTATTTATAGACAATAAGAAAGAAATGGCAGGTTTCAGAAACTTGTTCAAAGCCAGGCTGGATCAAGAATCCTAGCTATTTACCATAGCAGCTTCTCCGGTTAAAGTGTGAGTGAGTAATAATATAACTGAGCTTCTACAAAGAAAGGTAGTCCATGAACTGAATATTGGAAAATGAGTGGGACAATGACAGAAGGGCTTTGAGACAAAGATCATTTCAGGCAAAAGTGGCAGTAGGGAAAAAGTGCCAGGCCTGGTCAAAAGAAGGTGTTATAGTTTGAATACATCATGTGTTCATGTGATGGAAAATTAATTTCCAAATTCACACATTGATGATACAGTATTTAAAGGTGGAGCTTTTGAGAGGTAATTAGGATTATCATCTTTTTGTTTGTTTGTTTTACTGGGGATCAAACTCAGGACCTTGCACTTGCCGGGCAGGCGCTGTGTTGCTGAGCTAAATCCCCAGCCCAAGGATTAGATGAAGTCATGATGGTGTTAGTGGCTTTGTAAGAAGAGGAAGAGACCTAAGCTAACACACTTGCTCTGACCTGACATGTGATACCCTCCATCATGTCATGCAGCAAGCGGATTTTCACCTTTGGACTTCCCAGGCTCCAGAACTATGAGCCAAATAAACCTGTACTCTTTAATAATTACCCTGTCTCAAGCATTTTGTTACAGCAACAGAAAATGGACTAAGACCAAAGATCAGCAGATAAATGTAACCGCAGTGTTGCGTGTAGGATGGAGAAAGATCAGAAAGCAGGATGTAACCAGATTTCAAAGACCCCGAGTGCCAGGCAAAGAATGTGGGTCTCTTTTTAAAAAATGCAATGAGGTGTTAAATGAGACAGCTTCTGGTAAGAGAAATGACAGAATTACACTCACAGAGATTCAGAAGAATAAAATAAGGTGTGAAGGGCAAATTGGGAGTCAGGAGTCTGATAGGTCTCCTTTTTGAATGTTCTGAGAAAGGCAGGTGTGTCAAGACCTCTAGGACAGCAGATCATTTCTCATCCTGCAAGTCTACCCTGGTCACTTTGTAGAAGCTTTCCAATTTGATGTTTGAACAGTTCTTAGGCTGCCTCCAGGTTCAAGTAACCAAGTTTGAACCATCTGGCCATGCCTCTGTCTGCCTTGGATGTAGAAAGGAGCATTCTGGCTCAAAAATAGCATTGGTGTCCTCTCTGTTCTGGATGCTGGCTACACTGCTGCTCCTGCCTTTCTGCTCCCAAAGTCTGCATTCTATGAAGACCAATCACCCAGGACCTTGAGCTTTGCACACAATTCAAAAAGTTCACTTTGTGTTTGTCAAATTTTCCTCTGTTCATTCCTAGTGCTTATGGTGCATGCACACTTTTGTTGTCTGTTTCAGAGAAATGGAACTTGTTTAAATGATTCAGTTATGAGAATTGTGAGGATTAAGAAAAAGCAAAAGGCACACGATGCACCTTGTGCAAACACTCACCTTTTTTGCTCCTTGTTCTTCTTCCACACCATCTCCTATAACAACATATACCACTTTTCTTCCAAACCTTTGAATTATCCTCTCAAAACAGCTTTCTTTTCCTAATAAACAAAAATAAATTATAGAAAATATAAAGTTTGGGTAGTGTTTGAACATTTTATATAAAATACTTTCTTCATGCTTCTAATGCAACTCTATCCCACTTAGGAACTAGTGCCACTCAGGCAGTAGGTGGAACAGCACAATGAATTTAAAATTGTAAATGAATTACCAATGTAGTCCCCTGCCCCTTGGAAACTGACAGTTTAAATATTCTTTTCTCCAGCAGTCATTTATTAAAAAGTAGGATCTAGTCAATCCCAGTATAATAATTGGGAGAAAAAGTTTTGTTTTGCATTAATGTTTTTTTTCCCCCTACAAGCTGAGACTAAACAAAGGCATGCAATCCTGGCAAACATTTTAACTTGATTTAAGAAATGTTTCATAATGTATCAACCTCTGAAAATAATATTTGATCCAAACACTATTGAGAATGATTTAAAAAATAACTGGACTTGGTTTTGGTATAGCAAGGAAAAACAAACAGTGGAATTATCCCTTCATTTTCAGGTTGAATTGAAGACCTTCAAAGCCTATAATGCATTTACTGGAAATATTCTCATAAAACTCCTCCAGAAATAAATATCAGGTAATTTGGGGTGCTACACTCAGATTCTGTCCACTTCACCCAGGCATCTCATGTTCAATAAAGCACTTTCCTAGAGGAAAAGTGGGATAATGGTAACAGAACACCTTTATCTGTCTGCCATCTTTCCCATGTCATGACTTAGTTTGGGCTTCCGCAGCAGCTACACTGTCAGCACATCCCTGCAGTTAATGCCGCCTTTGTTTCTTTTAAGAGAAGAACTTGGTGTTCCAAGTCTAGGGCTGCCAATGGGGTTATTTTAATGGACAATGGGACAGTTTATAGTTTTCAAATGTGAATGGTTGAGTGGGGCCTGCACCTCTTTCAAATAAGGATCAGATATACACATGAACAAATTGCTTGTTTGCTTAAACAAATGTCTGCTTTATATTTGTATTTTGCACTAAAAAATCTCTCATTTGCATTAGACAGAATGAAATAGAGCTAGCCTTATTCAAAGGATGCTATTTCAATGCTAGTTTAGTTGCCCACTAAACTGTGAAACATCAAATCACTTTAAGAAACAAATTCAAAATGTGTAACCAAACACACATCAGGAAGCTCTTTTGCTCTCCTTATGGAAAAATGCATGTTTTTGTAGTTTCCTTCTCATGGAAAACAGAAGGTAAACTCATTTAAAGATGAAGTTGCGGTGGACTCAAATAAGAAAATTCTTGCCTATGTACTGTCTCCTTCATTGTAAATTTTGGGTCATATAGAAACTTTTCACAATAAAGATTAAGAAAACGAAGCTGACTTTTATAAATTCATTAGAAGTCATATACAAAGTATTCACTCTAATGAATCCGTTTTGAGAGTGTCATAGCTCTGCTAAATAAGACGCCAGTCACCTCCCATGACATTGGCATTTTGTCTCCAATGAAAATTCCAGGGTTTTCTGCACTGATCTCCATATAGACCTAATTTGATGGCACAATCAGCAATAACTACCAGAATTTCAATCTCTACTTTTCTTATTAAAATATAGAAAAATGAGGTCCTATCATTGGCTTTGAGATAATTTCTACCACTCTATCTTAATTCTAGTTTTTATTTTGTATTGCAAAGAATCCAGTACTTCAAACAAGATGCTCATTTAAAAATAATGTTTACTGGGCTGGGGATTTAGCTCAGTGGTTTCACCGCCTGCTGCGCAAGCGCAAGGACCCGAGTTTGATCCCTGGTACCAAAAAAATAAATAAATAAAATAAATAAATAAAAATAATGTTTACTAATTATTTTAATTACCTATTATATTATCATTTCAAATTATAAGGGATCAAACCTTAATGCATTTGACATGTAATATACTACATGTACTTTTTTTTTTTTCGGTACTGGGGATCGAACTCTGGACCTTGCACTTTCAAGGTCCAGAGAAACTTTTCTGAGAAACTAAGCACTAACTCCTTATACTATGTGCTTCTTTGGAATTTGTCCCAACTTTCATGTGCTGATAAGCCTTTCCATAATCTCAGTTTAAAAAACACAGTATATTTCCTATTTATTGATATGGATGGAAACAATCAATATGACTTAAACCAATTGCTCTTTCATTAAACAGGAGAACATGTAAAATTTCTGGTTATAATGGGCCACCAGGAATTAATTTTATTTGGTGTATTCTTTTCATTTTGTAAGTATTTTCCAGTGTTCTTAGCCTTTTGGGGAAGTACAGGTCATCCTCAATTCCAGATATGTATATTTCCAATTTGAGAGGTCTACCTGAGTACACCACAAACTCTTTTCACTTAACATTAATATGATTAATCTGATTTTCCCACCAGTTAATCATGCCACTACTCAGGTGTCTAAAAGAAAACCCTGTGTCAGCCTTCTTCACAATAGGCATTTATTTATCCATTTCATTCTGAACCATTTTTGAGTACTTTCTATGATCTGGGCACTGGAACCATTGTGATGAACAAAATAAACAAATACAGTACCGTCCTCAAGTATATTAAAGTCTGGTGAGGAAGTCATACTATAAACAATCACCCAAGTAATTCTTTAGGGATCATTTACTCAATTCTTGGGAGAAGTACAGGAAGTATAGGAGTGCAAAGAGATGGAAATTAGACTTACAGGGATTCTGTTTTTACCCCTTTTTCTTTAGATGGAGTTGAGTTGGTACTGCCCATCTTGCCCCTGTTTTGAGTACCTATTCTCCCTCCTGTGGACTTACAAAAACTACATTCATTTCCTTAGGGTAACTTACTAGATTCAAGTCTACATTCCACCTTCAGCTTTCCATGGGATCTGTACACTAGCCACCCAGGACCACTCAAATCCCTCAGTAGGGAACACATTTTAATTTCTCTGTTCTTTTGATCTTAGTAACACATCTGCTTGGTAAACTCTTAATACCCAGCTTTAAACTCCTTTATACCCAGCTTAATTGTCATTTTGTTCCTTCCTTTTCATTGACACTTGCCTTCTGCTACCTCTTGGTTGGGAGTGAGTCCTTCCTTGGGTATCTACACATTCAGGCACTTAGCACAGCACTGAGGATAGAGGAAGGAGTCCAGAACTGGGAGTCAGAGACAGACATTCACTTGAATAATTAAGTCTCAGAGCTTTAATCGCCTCATTTGTAAAATGTAAAAGCCAACTAAAATGTGTAAAATGTTTAGTACAGTTCTGGGTATTTAGTAGACACGTGATGAATGTGTACTTACACATTGCATTATAATAGAGATTACAGTTAATTAGATGTCTGCTCCCCCCAGAAGAGCCATGTCTTTTCACTCTTTTATTCTGTCTCAGATTATGTTCTAATTAAATTTCATATTAGTCTCCCTCTCAACAATGTTTCCTCCTTTTCATATCCCCACGGCAAAAATGGGCACTAAATTGTCATATGAAGTTCAGAGCAAAACAAATGCCATTTCCAGTAATAATAAAAACAAGTTTTTGGAGTTATTTTATTTCTACTTTGTATAGTTTTATATTACTGTTCACTTTAGCTTATGAAATATTTTTATGTTGTATAAAAGAATAAGATAATTGAGTTGACATTAAATTACTTATACCTAAAATGCCCAGATATTAATGTTAGCCAGTAAAAAAAATTTTATGACTTCAGCTATATGGACTATTCTTTATATTTCTCTTAATGTCTAAAGTTAGTTTTGACAACTATTCTTCTGTTTTTCGGATGCAGTTAGCATCCTGACAAAATAACCCTCTCCATTTATTGGCTTTCATTTTAACTGAAGGACAATTTAAAAACAGAACAAAAATCAGCGTCGCTCACCTATTTTAGTTGCACTGTAAATATTTTCTATTGGAAAAACAATTCCTAATCCATATAGCAGGACTTTTGCCAAAGCTGGGATGAGCTGAGTAGTTGTGACTAAAATATTCACACAGTTGGTCCTGTGAGAACAGAGAGAAAAAGAAAAGACTGTTGAAAAATAAACCTCCAAAATGAACAAGCATGAGCAGTGCCCATGTCCTGGCAAAGGCTCCCGGAGCGCCTCACCGGGAGTGAATGAGCGAGAGAGCTTTCAGGGCCAGAGTCAACCAGGAGTCAGTCAGTGCTTCAATCTCCGCCCTCAGCTGCAGCCAGGCCTCCCTCTTTGCTGGGCCCAGAAGACCTGTGGATTCAAAAGCACACATGAGCACATAAGCAATGGCCTTGCTGACATAACTCTGCGGTTTTATAAATAATGAACACTTAATGGAACTATTTCCACACTTCCAAGCTTTATAGTAATTCTCATATGTTATCATTCCGTTGACAAATGCATCTTTAGTTTACAATGAACATTTACTGACTTGGCATTCCTAGCATCCCTTCTTGTTTGGCAGAGGCCTTCTATTTTTCCATTCCTCTAACCATGCAGTTTGGAAAAGCTGACTCTTACTTTCTGGCTGCCAGAGTAGGTGTGTGACCTTGCCTGGGCCAGTGAGTCTGTCCTGGAACTTTTGCTGAATCTATGGAAAGATGTCTGTCCCATCCTTGGGGAGGTGCCAAACAGCAGGATATGGACGTGGATCTTCTGGTGGTAATTTTGCCTCCTTTTGGGAGAGACTGACCTAGGAGGATTCTACCCAAAGGAAAGCATACGTCTTCCTGGTTGTATTATTTGAGCATCTCAATACATCCATGCTGGAAACCATCGCCATCCCTACATTCATTATTAAGTGAACATATTCTCTCTCACGCTAAAGCTATTTTGACCACTGTGAAAAGATACAAACTAACATAAGCACCTACCTGGCAGAAAGAGCACAGCACCCCATCTTGTGATTTGGGTGAGGGTTGCTAAGCCCACTTGGTTGGGAGGACAACCAAATGTTAGAAATGTCAAGGAACTTGCCCTAGGTCACAGCACTGAGTAACAAGCCAGGTCAGCTAGTTCGAAATCACAGCAGAATAATTTCCAGGTGGATGAAACTGCCTTACAAAACCTATCATATCCAAAACAGTTTGACCCAAAAGTGAGTGGCACTTTTAGAATTTTCACTAGATTGTCTTGAGCTGCCCCTAAGGTGTCGTGATGGTCACTTGCCTCCCACATTGTTTTTGTATGTGTTGTAGATCTCCTTCACTCGTCTGTAGCGGAAGGCCAACTTTCTCATCCAGTCCACACCGCCCCTGACACCGGTGGCCAGGCATAAATTAGCACTGGTGGCTGCAGCGGGAAAGCCGTCTGTTCCAAAGTTATATGTGCTATTTAGATGCAAGAAAAGCCCAAAGTTAACCAAACAGGAAATTCATCTTAATTAGCTGAGCAATTAAGCCATACAAAGGAAATGATCAGCTCCCACTTCAATGTGCTCACCTTAGGTCTTGGCCGTTATCATCTGAAGAAACATCATCTATATGAACTTGGTCACATTCCTAAAATGCAATTAAAACGACACATGTCAATCAATTTTAAAAGACAGTTAAAAAACATCTAGTTTTAAAAACACCTTAATGGGAGCGTCTTTCAACTATGTCAATCAGTAGGTGGCAGTCTTGTTAAATTGACATTTTTACCTTTTGGGGTCTTTTTCAAAGAAATAGGCAATGCCATCAACAACTACTGTTATTCAGCTTCAGAAAACACATTTTTGTGTTTAGAAAGAAAAGTGATTGAAAGCAATTAGCATATGTGTTCCATAAACCTCAGTTACCTTAAGACATCATGCTGCTCAAGGCTGATTCAGTCAGTGTCTAAGCATAACTGAAACCAGACATTTTGGTAAATGTAACATGCTAGAAAAAATTAAACCTGATGCTAACTGCCAATGAAATTATGACCTCTGATTGCTGTTGAGCCACACACCAACATAGCCCGAGGCCAGTGTGCTGAGGAGCCCAGACAAAAAATCTGTTACTGGTTTGCCATTGATTTGAGAGATGAGAGTTTTATTCTGTGTCTGCGCACATGCGTGCACGCAGGATTTTAAAAAAGCACAAGATACTTCAGAACCTAAATAAAAATAGTTATCCACACAGTGTTTTTAATATTTTTCTAAAGCTTTTCACTGTTGCTTTTTTACTGTTTTACTAGTATTACATATTCATTTTAAATATTGGATTTATGAGTTTAGTATTAGCATAAAGTTCTTTTGAAAAGACCCGAGTTTTAAATCGTGGGCAGAGTGTAAGGTGTTTGGAATAGCAGGTCATACTGGACCGAGGGGACATTCATGCACCTGTTTGCACAGGAGCCCTTGCATAGCACTGCTTTACCCCGGCCCCTAGCACGGCTGTGGGAAGAGCAAATGTGAGTTTAACATCTGAGGCACGAGTGAAGGCACACTGGAGACAGACAAGGGGTCTAGTCCAGAAATGAGGAGCATACACACTTGGCGCTCCTTCACACTTCAGTCATCTTCCTCCTTTGAATTCAGCTTCCAAATACTCCAGAGACCTGTACTATACTTATTTCCGTTACATTTTTAGTTAAAAAACATTATTAAAAAGGAACTTCCAGTCACACATCCTGTACTTGCAAAAGTTCTTTTGACTAAGGCTTTGATCATATTTCAGAGTTAATTTTATAAAATCTAGCCTCTTTCTCTAGCACTCAGCATTGAACTCTAACAAAGAGGACATATTTAAATTGCCACAGTCAATAGGTGTATTTTTATGTTGCCAGTTCCTTCTGCACAAATTCTTCCCTTCATGGATTTGTGAGGAAGGGAGCAAGAGATAGATGTGGAAAGAAACTCAAACCAGCTGTTCCTTAACAGAATTAAAATCACGACCCCCCAACCTCTTCTCCAAAGCATCTATTTTCCAGGCAGCCCTCTCCCAGCATGCTGCAAGTTCCAAGGAGGAAAAGACTTTGACCTTGTAACCCTCCCCTGCTCTCCCGAGGTCTATAACCTCAGATAAGAAAGAAGGAAAAGCAGGTTTGGGAGCCCCCACATGCTGACTGTGAATTTAACATTTGTAAAATGGGTCATTCTTGGAAAACATGGTCAGGAACTTCTCGGAGTGAACAATTTAATCTTATTTTAGTACACATTGATAATTGTGTTTTCAACAACACATTCAATCTACTTTTACCAAGGTATTATGAAGAAATTTCTGTTCTTTAGAAATTTTTATGTTGTTTGTAAGCTACTGTTTTAGAGCCTGTAGTTAGTGTAAACAAAAGGAAGGAAGAAAAGAAGGAGGGGGGTGGAGAAAAAAAGAAATGAAAAGAAAAGAGAAAAGAAGGCCATAGCGCCCTGAGGAGAAATGTTTTTTCTTGGGGGAAGGGAACAGAAAAGAGAAAGTCCAACTAGAAGAGGAAAAGATATGTTTTTTTTTTTTAAAAAAAGAATTTACTTTAAGGAATGAAAGCTGACTTGGAATTCCCAACTTAACTTTAAGGGTGGGAAAAGTTTTCAAAGGCCGGGTGTTGTGAGGTGTTTTTTAAACTACAGCAGTTTAGTTGTCAATCCCCACCTCCAGCAGTGGAGACTGTAATCTTCTGACACTGTAAATGGCCCCATTGTTGCCACTGTTCTTCCACGCCCTGTGTTTGTTTTCTCCTGCTAGCTTATTTAAAACTTATTGTTCCCATTTGAAGAATAGTTCAGTATTTTAGTTAGTTCTAATTAAGTGTCAACAGCTCCGGGCTTTTACTAGCAGAGAGCAAACTCACTGGCAGTGACTTGATTAAATCCAAGTTTGGTGTAAGGGCAACACGGAAACTTTATCATTCGTTCTTTAAAGGAGAATTTTTTTAGAATGATTTTAATGAAAAGAGACTTAAAACCAGGGCCTAATTAGACCTTCAAGAGTGAAAAAATCATTAAAATGTTTATGTAAAATGTATTTATGGAACTGTTGCTCATCTCATTTAAAGAACAATAGAAAAATATACTGCACAAACTTCAAGTATATAAAATACATAATGGGAACTAAATGTATGAGATTACAAACAATGGTTTAAATACTTACGCTTTCTTAAATATTTCAAACATTTTATTTCCAAATAGGACACACATGTGTAAATACCGAATAGTTTCTCTAGTGTGAGAAACTGAAAGTGTAAATAAAGATTAAAATGATTAAAACGAATAATTGATAATTTGAAATAGGAAAAGGTCCAAAGGTGTAGGGGTGGTGGGAGGGGGAAGGGGAAAGGAAAGAAGGGAAGGGAAAAATTATGAGAAAAGAAAAAAAGTGGAAAGGAAATCTATATAAATAGGGAAAGGTGGAGGGGGTGAAGGGCACACAGGTAACGGGGAAAAAATAAGAACCAAGATACATCATGCACAGGTAGAAGCACCCAATGATAAATGTAAATGCACTGTATACCTAAAATGTACCAATGAAAGAATTTTAAAAAAAACATTTCCTAAAAGAATGGAGAATATTAAGACCCTATCATATTTCACAACGGAGCTGCAGAATGTGCTTACGTGCCCTACATGTGTTCACTCTCCAGTTAGCCACAGTGGCTCCCCTAATTTCCTTCACATATTCTGAAACTCAGTGTCCTCTGAGAAGACAAACTTCTCTTCAGAAGCCATCTAGGTTTTCTTTTTGTCTCAAGAGTCTAATTTTGGGTTTTCATTTTTGCCTTCTAGACTTGGTTGGTTTTTAGTCTCCAAATTTGTTTTAAACCCAGACCATTAGGTAACATGGGGGAGAGCAGGGTCTGGTTTAAGAACCTGTGGCTATAAGCAGGAGGGGCCCTGGACCCATAGAAACAATAGCAGCAGTAAAGTACAAAGCTATCGCGAGATTCTGTGGACACAAAAGACAAAAATGGAAGCTTAATCTATTTTCAAATGCCAAAATATATTCCTAGAAACCCTAATTTTGTGTTTTTATGCAGAGTATGGAACATACAGGATTCCATAGAAAAGTAAATGTTTATTCCAAAATGGAATAAATGTGCTGAAAATGTACTTTTGAAATAAACTTCCAAAAAGTACATGCTATGAAATCATTACTGAATTCAAGTCTTGGGACAACATTTACATTTCCAGGTCTGCATATTTTATTCATTAATTTGCGTGATGGGGCTCAAGATGCCTAAGGGACCCCTACTATAGGTGTGGGACAGAGAGCTCCCCAGGGACAGCAGCAGTGACTGCAAGGACTCCTGCTACATTCTGCACTCAGCTCACCAGAGCTGGCTACCTGGTGAAGCCTTAGCTTAGAAAGAGGCTTATTCACTAGTGTCAGGTTACCTATGAAGAGCTTTTTGTCTTCTAAGTATTGTTCTGTATGCTGAGGACACGGCATTTAACCCAATAGGCAAACATTTTTACCACCTTGGAATTAATATTCTAGTGGAGGAGACACACGAACAAGGAAACATGTAATATGTATGGTATGTCTGATAGGGGTAGTGCGGAGAAGAACAAACATGGCAGGGGAGGGGGTATATACATTGCCAAGTATTTGGGAAAAGAGCCTTATAGGAAAAGGAAAGAGCAAGTTCAGAGATCCCAAAGCAGGAGGGAGGAACCAGGGAAAGAACTACTGTACTGGGCTTGCAGGTCACAGCAAGGAACTGGCTCTGCTTCAGAAGCAGTGGTTAAATTATCAGTCTGTGCCCAAGGGACTTACAGTTTAGCAGGAAAGAAGTTAATTAACTAACTTCACAGTGATTAATTAGAATTATGATAAATGTAGCAGAATCTCACTGGAATCCAAACGAACACCAGTAGCTGAGTGTTGCATAGTTCTGAAGTACTGAGATTTGGTTTTGTTCCCTTTTGACTATTGTAATCAAACAGGCAAATAGTGGTTTGCTAGACTGTTCACAGCCAATGAGTTGTGGTGTCAGGGACAAAGCAGGGTTTGGTCTCACACTGCCCATCCAGATCTCTAAGTTAGAATGGCTATGGGGTGGGTGGAGCAAAGTAGCATTTATTGGACAAGATTTCATTGTCTCAAGGAAACAGCCCACATTTAGAGACACAGAGGAACACCAGACTACTCATGAACAGGCCCCAGAAGGCCTGAGAAAAGGCTCTTGAAGACCTCATTTCTTTTTATGCCAAAAACACAGACATCAGAATTGGTATGCAAGATGGAAAGGAATCAAGGCATGGGGAAAACACATTTGGTTAATGGCTTTCTGAAGGGATGCCATTTTTGTACAAGGGCTCAGCAACAAGTCAATAGTAGAGAAATGTATGATTATAATTTACATTTTAATTTAACCATTTCTGACCTGTATCAAAGAAATTCTATAGAAGAATGGGAGCCAGTGCAAGGAAAAGTTGTGACTATCCTTCACTAGCAAAATTTTACAATTAACTATGGCACATGCCTGTAACTCTTGATACTCAGGAGCCTGAAGCAGGAGGATCTAGAGCTGGAGGGCATCCTGGACAACTTAGTGAGACCTTGTTTCAAAATATAAAAAGGAAGCTGGGTGTGGTTGCACGTCTTTA